TATAATGCTCTGCACGTAAGTTGAAAAAAAATGGCAATTGTGCAGTAGCACATTTTCGGTCTCAATCTTGGTGCGACGTTGAGAAAATGCACTAATGTTTTCTTTATTGTGACTGAACTTGAGCTGGAAATCGAAATTTTGGTTCAAATCACATGTCACCCATTATACGACTGGGGAAAGGTAACTTTTAGGATTTGAATCCTCAAAATATGGGAGCAGTAGCCAAGATTGCTCGTCAAATAAATATGCATGTGATAAAAGCCTAAGATTTAAAACACTGTAACTTAACGTGAAACCTAATTAAATAAGGTAAATGATATGAGCAGCAAACTTATAGAGAATGTCTGATTTTGTATTGGCGCAGAATCTCTTAGACAGAAGGTTATTTTGTATTAATATTGGTATTTGTTATTTTTGTTTGATGATTAGCACTTTCTAAGTGTTCCAATTCGGTGTTGTATGCGGTTTCTCGAGGGTCTGTGGGTTGATGTTGTAGGATGTTCTGTGTTGGTAAATTGGCACGCGCTTCGACGCGTGGGTGTTGCACGGATGCTGGCGATAGTACTCGCCGTGTCAACGTACCGAGTAGGGTAGCCTGGTCTTAGGCTGATAAGCCGGATAGAGCAACCTATTGAGCCGGATATATTTGTTACTCTTTCATACAAAATCTACTAAACGGATTTTGATGAAATTTTGAATATAGCCTGAATGGATTTTTTATATGCTAATAAGTTCCCCAGGGATAAATTTACTGTCAAGTCATCGTGTAAACCACGCTGTTGAAGCCGCTGACGGAAAGCTAGTTTATAACAAATATAATAATTGAAATTTTAAAGTTTAACAACCGTTTTTTATCGTTAACTATAATTCGATTCCAATGAAATACGAGGCGTATAGAACGGATGCTAACTCGGGGCAAGTGTAAAATAAGGTCAAATTTAAACGGCCAGTCTCCGTCAAATTCCGCTGGACTTGTAACCAGAAAGCCTGACAATGTCCAGCTAACGAATGAACGTTTGGAATTCATCATCACCTAAAAGAATGTCTATCTAATTGTAACACTTACAATGTAAATACAACACACGCCCGAACCATATCTAGATAGTATTATGTTGTTGATTCTTAAGATAGCGCGTTTTCTATATCATCAGACAAAAACAGGCTCATTGTTAAATATTAACTTGAAAGTGTTGTTTTTATGAAACAAGATTTAACGTTTTCTTTCACATTAGACATTTACCTGTAAAAAGATGTCAAAGCACAGGAGTATAGAGTATAAATATAAATATTAGCATGGTAAACATATAATGATTGCCAACAAATTAGTCGATAGTAATAAAAAGTACGTCCTTATACCTACAAGAAAGACGTCTATAGTTTTTCAAACTTAATAATTGTGCGCGCGAGCCGGATTCTATAGGGCGGTGCGCAGATATAGATGCGCAGGAGCACGACAAAAAGAAATCGTAGATACATTTTCCTGTAATGTGTAGTTTAGAATTATTCGAAAATCTCTTTTATTCAAATTTGTTTTTGAACAACTTTCAAACCGTTCATAAATATATTTGAGATCCTCACAATAATTTTGATGTATTCTATTTTATCCTTATGTAATAATAACGTATTGCCCATCATCAAAACATATGGCTTGACCATTTACAAGAAATATTTTTGTATTTATAACAGAGAAGTTTTGAACAGTAGTATCATAGAACTGAAAAAAGATAGTAATACAGTTGTTTATCTAGGTTTACCTTACATCAATGTGACGGTAGCAGAATTGCCAAGCCCCATATTTTGACTGATTTGTGAAGTTTGTTAAATTAATGCTTGAATAGTTAGGCACGTAGAGTGAGAATCTTGGCTCTACATAACGTTTGAAAACTTTTAGACGATGCGAACCTTAGGGTGTCATTTTGGCAACATTTATATGAAATGTTATTGGTGCAATATGCAATAAACAAAAATGTTGTCATTAGAATAGTTGCAAATTTTAAAATAAAACAATCAATGTGGAGATAATGCAGATTTTTAGTATTTTATTATAAAATTGCAATTCCGGCCTACATTTGCCGTATTAAGGATTCGGAGGATCACAGGTTGGATAACGATGCTATAAAGGTTCTGTTCTATTTTTTGTTACGGAACCTTAAAAAAGCAGTAAGCCACTACCGACGAGTTTGGAAACCTCTGCTGTAGATTAAAGTGATATCATATGTCTTGTTATTGGTTAGAAGTTTCGATCTTTGTTTTTTAATAGATTTCCAATGACTATGCAAATGTTTAGAAAGTTACTGGCAAATTATTACAATATTTACAAACTTTAAAGAATATCCACATAGTATTTTATCAACCACACCATGATAAAGTAAGACACATGTCAGTACCCTTACAAAATTGTCTCAATTTCATTGAATGTTTTCATCGTAAGTGGGAGGTGCGGTGACCTGTTTATGTTTTGAACAGACAGACTTACGTCCGTGTTTTTTGTAACTGGGCGAAAGAGAAGGTCTGTGGAGATAAATCTTCCGAGATTTAAGAGTATGTGAATGCCCGCTTTGTTTATATTAATCAAGCTAGCTTGTTTTCTAATATTTTGCTTCGGTCTAACTGTTTCTATTTCTAGATCTATTGTTATGGTCTCATTCTTTTGTTTTTTGAATATAATAAGTTATTATTTACTGTTTTTTATACATATCACTAATTTTTCATTGTTTCGAAACCACGATATCGTTAATTGATAAAGTTGTTTTGTTTTGTTATCTTGTGACAAGCTATAAGTAAAATGTAAGGTATTACTGCAAAACAGTTTGCATATAAATTTTGTGGTATTTGTTAAATATGGTACGTAAGTAAGGTAATGAAGTACGAGTTGTTAGCAGAATTTACATTTTAAATATTGTCGTTGGTGCGTTGAGATTAAATAATCGAGAAAAAGTAGGCCCTTGCTCTTCGTTTGTCTTTTGGCTTTGGCGGCCACTACCGTGGCCCTAGATTTGCTACTAAGTTCAGGAGGTAATATATTGTTCGAATTAAAACTTCTACAGAATATATCTATATAGGTAAATATTATTAACTGATTTGATTGAATAATTCATTTATTACGTCAGGCGATTAAGGAGGGGCAGGCAGTGGGTTGACCATTGCCTTGTTTTTTTTCTATAAAGTTTATACATCACAGACACCAGCAAAGATAAGGTACTATAAAAAAGGACGGCTAAAATAAAAATTTACAACTCGCATACTAAGGTGGATTTGCAGACTTAGCCGCCATTATGGCATGTATGTAATACTAGCTTTCCCTTTAGCTCTCATAATTTAGGCACTACATATTAATTTACTTTTACGTAAAATAAAAACGTAAAATAGTTAAAAAAAGTTTGTGTTTATGTCTTGATGAAATAATAATAATTTCTTATTGCCAGCGCTGGCTCAAAGAAACTTAGCGTGCTAAGCAAAGACATTGGAACTACGCCGATAAAAAATAACTAATTTAGACACACCGATTAAAGGATGTAATTTTACCAATGACAAAAGAAACTCCGAAGATTTTGTTACCGATAAACGTTTGTTAAATGTATAAAATATTGCATTTTTAAGGTTCAAATAATTCGAGCCAACAGAATCTATCATGCCATCATCATCAGCCCTTTTTTCCCACTGCAAGGGCCTTCTTTATTGATGGTTAAGGAGGATGGGTTACATTGTATCTGACACACAAATATCTCAGTAACAACAATCGTTATTCCATGAAAATAGTTTGAAATATATATGAAATGTTTTATTCTCATTGTTATTTCAGCTTTGTTTTTAATTATTCTGTTTTTGGCACACAAAACAATACTTAATGCCATTATTGGCCGCCTCTAATATCCGGCTGCCCTAGGCCCAGGCCTTTTTACTGTGGCCTTAGGGTAAATCCGTCACTATACATACCTACAAAACAAAAATTGTTCCTTTAAAGAAACATCATAAATTCTTATATACCTATATATTCTTTCTTTTAAATACATTCTTTCTTTTAAATATATTCTCTCTTTTAAATAAATTAGCATAAAGTTTTATTTTGAAGATCTAAAATTGCTTTTAAATTCTAAAATTTCTGGGTTTGTGTTCGTTATTTCGCCTCTATATTGTTTTATGTCAATCCGCGGACTAAAAGAATTACAGTAGGGGAAGATTGGCACCATTCGTACACGGGGAACTTTCATATGGTCATTACTACACTGTAGAAAAGCCTATTTATTACGATTTTGTGGCAGTTGTCCACGAAGCAGCCACTGCGAGTCAAACTAGAGAACTTTGTGTTTTGGCATGCTCAAAGTACTCGTAAATATTTTGTTAATGTTTTTGGATCTTCCGTGCTTGAATGATACGTCATTTTTTTAGGATTTTTGTTTAATCATAAGCGACTACGATCAAGTTATCTATTTGTGAATTTTTCGACACGAGTTTTGTGCTAGAAAAATATTTTATTTTTTGATCTTCGGGGCACGTTCGTACACTTCTTGCAAGGGCAAATTCGTACGCCTACCCCTGTTAACAATTTTTATTATTATTTCAGAAAATTTGGAAAAATGATCGGAAATTTAAGGAAAAAGACGCAGGCACGTGCCCAATATTCGTTTTTTCGTCAATAAAAGGTGTTTTTAAATGGTAAAAAATAGTTTCAAAATTTCTATGAAACTGGTTAGGCGGATTATAGAATGGAAGCACGATTTTCGTTAAAATAGTTTGACTTAAAGCTTGTCTGAATGCTCTCCTGCTCATGTACGATTGTACCCCGTAATAGGGGTAGATACCAAAGTAGATTGGGACATTCATTAGCCTTTGGTAAAATTACCGACTTTGAACTTTATAAATGAGGAGCGGAAAGTATGCTTTGATTGAATAATTCATCTTTGATTATCAGTTTTTAATAAGTCATAGACTAAAAAGTGTACGAATGGTCCTAATCTACATCCCTACATATATTTGCAACTGTGAATTTTATATTTCAGACAATGTCCGCCGACACTGATGACGCCCCTGCGGCGGATCATACTTGACGAGGTGCAAATAGCATCGAAAAAATCACCAAATGAGTTTGGATACAAATCTGACGAATCAGGTGAGTTTGAAAAGCTTATATTTATCCCATCACATCCTACCCAGCCAGTTCATTTTGTTTTTAGTAACTGCCGAGGAATGGTATGCACTACCTGGTCATGTATTCCCTAATCGGTGTAACATAGAAATTTTCAAAGTCACTTACTTACCATTAGGTCAGATAGTTGCCAAATATCAGCTCAGCCTTTCAATAAAACAAAAATTATGTAGATGCCATGTTTTAGACTAGTCTGCCTTTTTTTAAATATTCTTTCTTTGCTTTTAATTTTTTTTACTGCGCGACGCAAGGGAGGGTAATGTGTTTATCAGTCTATGAATGTATGTTTGTTTCTATGTGGCGTTCTAGAGACCAAATGCGTTGGCCGATTTTGATGATTCTTACGTCAATCGATTCGTCTCAACCTTGCAAGTGTCACTAAAGACATGACAATAATCAAAATTCACCACACCGACAACCAGACGCCATATTGTCAAAATAAATAAAAAATCGATCGACTATATCGAGTGGGATATCGTTGAATAGGTATTTTAAAATCATCTTTAGGTTCCTTTCATCATTTTTCATTTTAAACAATAGTTTAGTATATATAACGGTTTAAAGTTGTTTTACAAACGATATTATCTCCCAGTACTTAGTAGTTTAGAATTCTGTTATTAGGTATTTATTTAGTATTACTTAACAGAATTCTAAACTACTGGGCTTGTTTGAATTTGTTCATTTATTTTTTTAAATTCGTTTTAACGCAGTCGAGTTTTTTGTATTTCTTTAAATTATTTTATTTATTTTAACTGATGAACAATTACTTTTTGATCCGAAAAGCAACTTCGAAATTGTTAATAGTCAACATTTGCCAATTATCGCAACTGTATAGTTGGCACAACCAAGCGTATTGCGTCACCGATGATTTAAGTCTAAACCTATAATCGTACAATTGCTAAAACGAATTACAAGATATGATACGTAGTACACGAGAAAGACGTTGTTTATTCAAACTTAGGTGCGCATTTAGACTATTTTGATGTATTCCTTCTTCTCTTTTCTTAATGTTAGTTTTGACAGCTTACTATTAGTCTAATCCCATAGAATCTAAATTTCTGTATTTTTAAGAATAAGGTTTTGTACTGTTCCGTCAGATCCCAACATTAGATTTTCAGAGAATATTTTCCAACTGTATCACGTTTAATAGGTGTATTATTGGGAATGTTTTGAACATTTATGTACTTCGTCGCGTGACTATCGCGTGTGGTGTGACGATGAAGGGATCTTTAATTACTAACGCCACTTTTACGAACCTATCTTTTGGTTATATTTAAAGTAGGCGGTTGGTTTCTGGTTAATTATAACTATAAAAATATTTGCAGTACCTAATACGATGAAAGAAGTCCACGGATTGTGTTTTTCAGTTGAAATACTCCTTCAGTTCTTTTGATTAGATTTTATAGCAAAGTCTGAATTAATGCCAAACATCCGAACCTGGTCAACAATAAATCTTATTATATTAGATTAAATTTCAATGAATAATGACCTGTTGATTTTCACGAAATTCAGGTACTGTTTGCAAACTTAATCAGTGTTACATACAATCGGTACACGGAGGCGTTAATCGGTTCATCCTGCGTGAAAATCGAAAATGATTTCAGATAGAGAACCTAATGGACTTTTTGAGTCATTGTCGTGATATAATTGTCATTGGGAAAATGTTTTACGACTGCAATTGAACGCGCCAATAGCTACCATCAAGCTTCTCAATTGAATATGAATGTTTATTTTTTTTATTTTCAGTGTATATAGCCCTTAGGCTAATGCAAGCGGTGACAGCTCGTGTGAACGCCGTCTGCCTTCGGTATCTGGACAATGCGCGGCTCGATACGCTGCCACCACCCCCCACGCTTAAGGATATGAAGACCGTGTCTTGTGCCACCAAAAACTCGCGGCGTGCGATGGAAGATCGCCACGTCGAGATCGGGAATCTTGAAGCGCTTTTCGGAATTGAGGTAATTAAGACTTACTTCATTCTGTATTCAATAACATTACTAACGAATTCGTCATTGATCCATCTATATACAGTTATAATTGTAAACTACTATAACATTGTATAGTGTTTAAAAGAGATATTGAGAGTTCGGCAGTCAAATTGATAACTAAAAATAACTTTGAGATGGGTAGTATAATATTCCTTAGCTTTTTTTAGCATTTGGTACTGATATTAACATGGTACACGTCGGGTTCTTACAAATGACAAACTTGCTCTATCAATTTTTAGAGTTCATAATCGATTACAAATATTTGTGATATTTTAATTAACATTTACCAGTCTATGCTACTTATGAAGGTTTTTTAATTAAGATGATGTCTTACATATGTGGACTAACTTAATAGTTAAATAATGGTTGCATCTAAATGCAGTACATCATTGTCATCATCGTGATAAAGACTAAGTTCTAGTAGATGGGAGACTGCCTCATATCCTCTCGTATGATGTGAAAATATTACATCTCGACCAACCTTCTCCTCCCTCGACCAAAGTGTCGCCATCTCTGAGCTCCCGGGTTCGATTCCCGAACGGGTCAATGTAGAAAATTATCTTTTTTATATTTGTCTCGGCTCTGGATGTTGTAGAACCTTCGTTGTCTCAGATACTCCATAATACGACGTATTTAACTACTCATCTTGGAATTTGAGCAATGTATGTAATGTTGTCTTATATTTATTATTTATCCATTTGGCAATTAATCTTAAATAACTCGATGCAGATAAAGTGATGGATTTGAAAATATTGGATAAGCGTTATCTTCAAAAACAAAACCCATTAAAACATATTCTATCCAATCAATAAAGCCCAATTTTCTAGGTTTAACGATGCGGAATGTTCCTTTTATTATAGACGGCGACTCCAACTAGTTTCTATGCAGTATACGACGGTCACGCCGGCTCGGCAGCAGCAACATACTGCGCGGCTCACCTTCATCAGTATTTAGTTGAGAGCCCATACTTCATCACTGATTTGAGGACAGCCATGTGCGACGCCTTCCTCAGGACAGATGCCGAGTTTGTTAGGAAAAGTAACGAAGACGTGAGTGTCTGTATAATAGAACATGTTCTCAATTAAAAACTTGGTCTCAGACGATATAGATGTCGACATAAGGAGCTAGAAAATACGGAATTCTCATGAATTGCAAAAACGTATAATTATTAATTTTAATTGAACTTAATGACTTTTTAAGTGCTAATTTATACGTCTCTACGCTTTCTTAATTCACTACTGATTTAGTAAAATATTTTTTTAAACCCTTTCAAAAATTATTGTGCGTGCATAATAAAGTGCGTGTAATTTTTCAAATGTTGTAGCCTCCATCGTCATGACGAATCAAATGATTAGTCAAGAATTAATATATAAGTTTGTGAGAATGTATGAATTTGTTATTTGTTTTTCTTTCACGTAAAAACTGCTGAACGAGTAAATTTGGTATATAGTACTATGTCTGGATTAATACATGCTACTTTTTATCCCACTATAAGGTTCCTTAACGAGAAGTACCTCCAAATAGCTACCTCAACGGTAGAGATATGTATGATTTCTAAAGAAAAGTTGTAGAGCTTTAAATTGTGTATAAAAAATCTTTAAAAAAAATAGAACAGAATTCAAATATAAAAAGTGATAAACAATACTATTTAATTAATAATCTACAGAAGACCTCCGCTCGACTTCAATTGCAATTTGTTGAATAAGTATCTTTTAAGATAAGTTTTTTTAAGTCTGAAGTCAGTTCATTTTTTTTAATGTTTGTATTGTAATTCATGCTTTTTAGTGATATTCATATTTTTTATAAGAATAGTAACACTAAAATATTAAATATGTATTCAAATTAAAATATTCAACTTAGTGAAAGTTTCAGAAAAGAAGATTTTGTTTATTTGCTCGATATTATTTTGTCCAATAATTTTAAACTCATATTATAAAGCGGAAAGACTTGATTGCTTGTTTGTTTTTTTGCATTTGATAAGCTTCGCAACTATTAAATCGATTCGTAAAAGTCTTTCATCTACATAATACGCATTGGACATAATTAAGCTATAATTTACGCACGTGAAGTCGCGGGGAAACTGCTAGCTTGATAGAAATTGATTCACAATTCAAGAAGAAATCGATTAACATACCTACTTTCATAAAAAAACATACACTCTCCTTGAGCATAGAAAATCCTCCTTTTGGATATTGAATGAATTCAAAATACGCAATCCTTTGTTTTTTAGCTTAAATACATGAAATACAATATATGTCATCTAAATATTTTGGTGATATTAAAAGCGTGTTTTGTCTTGTAAATAAAAGGAAAATTACTGATTCGATTTCGATGAAATTTAAATGAAACCACCTCGGCCCATTAAGCTGTTGAATAAAATTGAATTGAATTTTGAAAATCGGTCAACAATCAGAGGAAATATATCAAAATAATCGAAAAAGTTCGTTTGTTTATTACTGTCAAGATTTCGTTGTGTACTAATGCTGTCATGCCCTATATAAATACAATAATCAGGAGTTACAAAATACCTAAATAATGGACAATGTATAAATTGTTGTGTATAGCGCGCATGCGGGGGCAGTACGGCGGTGGTGGTGGTGGTCCGCGGTCGCACGCTACTGGCGGCGTGGGCGGGCGACTCGCTGGCGCTGCTCGCCAAGCGGATGCATCTGCTGCAACTGGTGCGGCCGCACAAGCCCGGTCGAGAGGTACACATTATACACATTTATCTTACTACCAGTGGCGTAGCGTGCCTTGGCGGGGCCCCGTATAAAATTTGTTTGGGGGCCCTTATGAAGGGTAAAGATTTTTCACATTAGAAAAAAAATGTTTGTACAAACTATGTAAATTTTAATCATATATACACCGATTATTGTGGGATTCCCCCGTTAAAGTCACTTAAACGGAGATATCCCGCAGCCCGCGAAAACTGTTGTAAGGTGTTTCCAAATTTGAAACGCACGCTTTACGCAGGAAAAAGAAATTGTTTCTTTTTTACTTTTGTCATTTCTGAATTAAAAATATATAAAATATGAAAATTTTAATCATAAGTTTATCTGAATTAAAAAGAAATTTGGGAAGTTTTTATTTATTTTTACTAACGTTTGGGGCCCCAGTGGCCTGGGGGCCCCGTATAATTGATACGGCATATACGGCGGTAGCTACGCCTCTGCTCACTACCTATAATATCACGCCTTTTTCTTAGTGAGGTAGGCAGATACCACCTTCATTTTACACGATGGTGACATATTTATGTCGAACAAACTTATTTTACAAAAACTAGATTTAGTGGAAATCAGAGGTTCAGTCTTATATTGGATCTTATTTTACTTATCTGGATGGCGACAATATGTTGTCGTCGAAACCTTGGTAGCAATGTGCAGTCGTTTTTATCCAATTATAGAGAAAAATTATTTAGCGTCCCACAGGGCAACGTTCCGAGACCTATGCTATTTTTACTATATATTAACGATATAACTAATCATAAGTGTGACGGAAAAAGTATCTTTACGAGTTAAAAGTTAATAAAATAATTGAAAATATAATTAAATGGCTGAATGTATACAATTTAAAAATTAATTTAAATAAATATTTTTTTCACACAATTTAATAAAATACAATTAAATTGACATAATGAGTATTAAATGTAAATAAAATTAATTCAATTTTAATTTAAAAATAAGTAAACATTTAAAAATTTTAGGTGTAATATTAGATGAACAACTTATCCGATCGAATAAATAGATTTTTGTATGTCCTTAAAAGAGAGAAGAGTGTTACCAAAAAAAAAACAGCCATTATAACCTATCGCGATTATGTTGAGTTTATTTTGCGTTATTTAATTACGCTTTGGGGTAACAGTATAGACTATAGCCTTTATTGAATAAGAATAGAACCTGTATTGCTTTAAATTTATGAAATTGCTAGGTACTTTCGTAAATTAGATAGAAATCTTAAATATCCGAATAGATTTATATATGATGACATTCCAAGATCCAGTAAATATACAAATAGCATTATATATCAAGATATCTTATGATCTCAAATATCTTAACACCAAATTATTCAAAAAGAATTTGTATAAATAGTCAAGTGATCCACTTGATCTGGTTTTTGTTCAAATCGATGTAGGAATCATCATATAAAATAATAAGAAAAGAATATTCTGAAATCTGTTATTAATTTAGTTGGCCGCATATTAGGATAAAAATACTTTAGCATTTCCCTAGTTCACTATGATAAATTTGTACTGTGTCACAATTTTAGTTTAGAACAGCTCGTTTAGTAGTATTACATACATATAAAAATAGTACGAATTAACACGACACCTGACGGCCTATTCCATTTGTCCTCGAAAGAAAATTCGGAAAATTGCAAAACCGTTTGTATAATTTTGTTAAAATTATATTTCATAAGATTTTCTATGTGAGAGGCAGTGTCATGTCCTATCTCTGCTGCATCAAAAATTGCCGAAGAATGCCTATTCCTTGAAGTTGTATTAGCGTTTCGATAAAAAGACGATATTTTATTTTCAGAGAAACATAATAGGCTTTCGAATGTCACGTTAATCAGATGAATGAACATAACAATAGGCTAGTTGACAACTTTTTTTTTATTTCATAAATAAATAGTCTATTAACATCTGAGAAATAATGTCGAAGTAACAGCATGTCTGCGATAAATAGTTTCGGAGATACGGTGCTGTGTTTGTAGAACTGCCGCTAGTTGGCCGAAAACGCTCCCTACAAATTCAAAGCACTCAGTGACGTCACATGGTGTTACAGTAGCGAAAAATGTATGGGCGTCTGGACATTTTTTGTAATATCTTTGTTATTTGTGCGTTTATGTTTATAGCTGTTATAATGAAAGTTGTAACATTTTTTATATCTAATTTAAAGCCTTATGTATTTTAGCAGATTATTGTAGTAGATTTTCTGTACTTTTTCAAGTTTCCAAAGCGTAATATTTTCCAAATCATTGACTTAAAATTTGTTTTGTTAAACATTTATAAGTTGAAATGGTTCATATTTTTCGAAGATATAACAAAAACCTGTATTTTCACTTGTTGGACACAAGCCTTAAATTTGAATAATCATTATTTAATAGGAAATCAACTTTTGTACAGGACGAACGAGATCGAATAGAATCGTCTGGTGGTACAGTAATGTATTGGGGGACGTGGCGAGTGAATGGGCAACTTGCTGTCTCACGTGCAATAGGTAAGTCATGATTATAATATGTATAATCCCCGCATATTGGTAATGCGTCTGGCCGCCATTTTGATGACGTAATTGGGTTCAAAAATCAGTACGGTTGTGCTGAGATCACACACAATTTTTTGTTTTTTTATTGATTTCAATTGTTATTATGAAATTTTGTTGTTTCCAAATAAAGTAACAACTTGTTGATTAAAATAGCAACAGCTATTATGAGTTTTAGAATAATTAAACATAATTTCACTCTATATGTCTCAAACATAAACAAAACTACTAATGGAATATAAGTAGTTTTGTTTATGTTTTTAAAAGTAATTTCCGTTTGTTATTGCTTTATAACGAAGGTAAATGTTATTTAATCATATTTATTATTCTCCATATCCTTCAATTCTTACACATAAATATGATTCTTTGATAAAAATTCATGCAATAAATTAACAAAGTACGTGTTATTAAATTATTATAACAATATTTAGTGATTACTCTTAAATTATTCAATAATTATTAAATAATTAATCTCTTGCCCTTTCTGCTATCTGTTCTTTCTATTTTCAAAAGAAGTCACGCGGTGTTATTTAGGCAAGGTTCGAGCGGATTAGTAATTTACGGGACTTATACAAAATATCTGCTTTCGACTATCTAATATAGATCTTTCTGCAAAATTTCTGCCGATCAATAAACTCCCAGAAAAACTTTGCTTAACGGTTTTTTGTGGAGGTAACAAAATCGTTTCTGTGTACGCGTCTATAGGGAACGCGGGGGAACTATAGGTGGCAGAATTAAACGACAATAGAGATATTAAACGGACAATAAAGGAAACTTATAGTAATAGGTACTATTACTATAAGTTTCCTTCATTGAGAATTCTTGTACATCGAGATTTCAAATAAGTAAACAAAATTTTCTCTTCAATTATTTTTGAATATGATAAAAATTGTATAATCTCCGGTCGTCAGGGTGGCTAAAATATGTCAAAAGCTCTTCGAGGCCATCCAAATATTGAAGGTTGAAGAAATAATAAATGAAGAAAATGAGTCTGTAATAACTGGAAAAATTGTCGTTCAAACTAAAATATCCAATATTTGCGACATGGAAATAATGATTATTAATTTTATGAATTTTACTGATGCTTACGTATGTTTACTGCGGTAATTTTTTTTGCGTATTTCATATAACATGACATTAGAATACGATTATTTGGAAAGTAATAAAATTTTATGCTATTTAATTCAGGTATTTTAATTTTTTGCAGATGTATTAGTTCATCCTGAAATGTAACAAAGCGTTATGGTTAGCTAATAAAGTTAGGATAATAATTTTCACTAATAAAATTAATTCTGTTTAAGTACTTGTTATAAATGTCAATATTAACTATCAATAGATTACAAGATTCTGATTGGCAACGCCAGTAGGCAGCATCTTCGTTGTGCACGTTCCCTATTTTGAAAATGTTCTACACTATTTTCCTTAAAACTTTAGTAAGCTGATGGTTCTGTAGTTAGTTTATGGTCTATGTAGCCGTCTATGTGTAAGCTGTGGCTTCCACATCAACCCATTTGCGTATTTTATCAAATATCAGAACCCCGTTTTTTTCATGCGACATTCTCTCTATATGTCTGAATCAACGGAACAGGCCTGGTAACATTTACATTAATATTATTTTTCAGATCTAACTCAAATTACGATACTGTCTGAGTCTATTACACCGATAATTTTATGGGATCTTCACACGTTAACATGCTTTCTCTGAAATACTCAACTCTTGATCCCAAGCCCGAGTATTGGGTTGGCACAAAAGTAATGAGACACACTAGAAAAATCTATAACATTTCCTTTTTAAAATCAATTTTTTCGATAATATTCTAGAATGTTGTAGAACATTCTAGGTACTTCTGGTGTAGGGTATATAAAGCCGCGCTCGCGATTTGTTTAGTAAGTTTGAAGAAAAATGGACGAGCGACAAGTTCGAACACTATACTTATACGAGTACTTGTTAGGCCACAGTGTGCGGGCTGCGGCTGACAATATCAACAATGCATTAGGCGCTGGAAGAACAAGCCATGCGACGGTGTCCCGATGGTTTGACCGTTTTATATCAGGAGACAGGAGCCTTGAAAGTCAGCCACGCTCAGGGCGACCACCCGCAGTGAATGATGACGATTTGCGCCGCGAACTGTAGTTGAATCCGGATGCTACCACTCGTGAATTAGCGGAAGCACTTAAATGCAGTCACCACGCCGTGGAACACCATCTGCGTGAGCTTGGTTATCGAAAAGTTTTGGCTCGGTGGGTACCGCACATCCTTACAGACGCCAGTCGTGCAGTCCGTGTCGCTATCTGTCAGTCACTTTTGCTGCGACCCCGACGTAAAGAGTTTTTGTCAGATCTGGTTACTGGAGATGAATCATGGATTTATTACGAGAACGATACACGTCGTGCTTTTTGGCTGCCTCGAGAAGAAACGCCACCAACTCAACCGAAGCCGAGTCAAAAGAACCGCCGAAAAATTCTGCTTTGCTGTTTCTGGGATGCGCAAGGCATACTGTTTAATGAGCTATTGTTTACTGTTTTATAAATGAAACTATAAACGCTGACAAATATTCAACCCAGCTTACCAAATTATCTGCCGCTATCAAGAAAAAACGACGAAGACGAGTCAATGTAGTTTTACTGCACGATAACGCTCGACCTCACGTCGCATCTGTGGTTCGCCGGCAGTTGGAGAACTTGGGCTGGGAGACGATACCCTACCCACCTTATTCCCCAGACCTCGCCCCATTAGACTACCATTTGTTTAGAGCCCTGAAACAGCATTTGCGGGGTAAACAATTTAATGATTTCTCTGACGTAGAGGCGGAGTTGAACAACTTTTTCGAGGCACAGCCATCAGAGTTCTGGGTAAAAGGCATCCAAACTTTGCCGGATCGTTGGCAAGAAGTCTTAGATACTAATGGTAATTACATCATTTACTAAACTTTTTTTATTGTAATAATAATAAAAAAGTAAAAACTTAAACCAAGTGTCTCATTACTTTTGTGCCAACCCGATAATTCGTTGGGCTAATTGACAAATACATTGGTCTCGTCGATCTGCCACACTTTTAACCGGATCGTGATTTTCCTGGGCTAATCGAGAAATGGCGGCATATCGTAATATACCCGGGCAGATCCCAATCGGCCCAATTCAACGATTGTCCCACAAAATATAGACAGATCAAATGAGTCCAAATCGATGGGGATGCTTCTTTTAATTACAGAAGTCCCATGACTACTTTCTAGTTCTATTATTATAATAATAATAATCTTTATTTCCAGTAACAACAGTTTCCTAAATATACAAGTAGTATAAACTTAATATTATTGACATTATTGAAATCATACGATAATTAAAATAAGTTTTACTCGTATAAGGCATCTGCTGCCAAACTAAGGTGGTTATCACCCTGTCATCTGGCAAGACAGCGCAACTACCCCAATTAGACCTAATGAAGATAATGTTATTATTTATAAAGTTACAATTTTTATTAATGTTTTGTTTATTCTACTAAAAACTATTTATATAACTATATATATAAAAAAATATTTATTTATAACTATTTGTGTGTGTGTGTGTGTGTGTGTGTGTGTGTGTGTGTGTGTGTGTGTGTGTGTGTGTGTGTGTGTGTGTGTGAATGTGTATGTGTGCGTTGAAATGTTGTTTGTATAACTAAATAAAGATTGTATGATTGAGTGTGTGAGTATGAGATTTTGTTTGGTGTATTCTATTATGAAACTGTAGCAAGTAGCTGCTCCTTCTCATCGTAGTCAAGAGAAAGAAGAAAGCTAGTGACTTTCCTCTTGCACTCGTATTTATTCAAATGGACAATGGTAATATATCTGCTTATCTTATTATAAACAAAGTTTCCAAGGAAGATGTAAGTACGTTTAGCGAAACTTGTTCGGCAACCTCGTTTATGTCTGCAAACAATATCCTTACGCCGTCTCTGAGAGTTTGATTGGTCAAAGTCAATTTCTGCGTGCTTTTTCAAGACAGTAAATAATAAAAACAACCCTCTGACGCTAAGTACTTCGCAATATTTCAACAGAAGGCTGGTGGGATACAGATATGGTTTAAAAGTACAAACCTTCAAAACTGATCGCTGAGCCACCTCCAAACATTTCAAATTTGTTTTTGGCATCCCTCCCCAGATAGTTATACCGTAGGTTAGTATAGATTGACATAATGCTAGGTAAACTCGTTTGAGATGCACAGGTTCAAGAACATGTCGTAGTATCTTAAAGGTAGCTATAAGTTTTCTCACCCTGCCACATAGATTTCGAACATGTATTTTATAGGACATATTATTGTCAAATGAGACACCAAGGTATTTAATGACATCAACATAATTAATCACTGCACAGTGACAGTTATCAGCGATTTGAGGGCTGCAAGTATGTAAGCGGAGCTTGCGAAATTGCAACGAGTCATTTGAAGTATTGCGTATTGTGAAAAAAATACATTTGGTTTTGTCCGCATTTAGAGTCAAAAAATTTGAACTCAGGCAAGCATTTACTCGATTTAACCCATTTTGAGCAGCCTCACAGGTCCCACTCAAATTTCTGTCTGAGAACATAAGGACCGTGTCATCTGCATAGGTCACAATTTTTCCATTACTGAGATTTAATTGACAGAGCTCGTTGATATACACAAGAAAAAGAGTTGGACCCAAGATGCTCCCCTGGGGGACGCCGTGTGTTACCAATGACTCGCTGCTAGAGAATCCAGAAATGTTAACGGATTGGTATCTTTCAGAAAGGTAATTCTCAAATAATTTTAATTGGTAATCACGAATTCCTATCCCTTGCAACTTCTTCAAAAGAATAGGAACAGAGACCGTATCAAAGGCCTTTGCCAGATCCAAAAAAATCCCTATACATTTATTACCCTCGTCTAGTTTATTAGTAATAAAGTCGACCATTTCATGCATAGCATCAGTTGTCGACCTACCAGTTCGAAAACCAAATTGATTTTCAGAGAGAATTTTATTTTTTTCAAGGTAATCGACAAGTCGCACATTAATAATCTTTTCAAAAATTTTTGATATAGAGGGCAATATTGAGATAGGCCGGTAATTAGAGACACAGGCTCTGTCCCCACCCTTATGAACTGGGATAATGATAGACTTTTTTAGGACTTTAGGAAAAACACCACAATGCAGGCAGTTATTAATGATGTACGTTAAATGTGGAACAAGAAAGTCCTTGTGAGTTTTTAACAGCTGATTTGATATACCTTATATATATTAGACCCTGGATATTATAAAGAATCAAAGTCCTTGTCAAGACAACTCCCAAACTTATAATATTGCATTGTCATTTATGTTATGTGCGTGTAAAATTAAATCTCAATCGAAACCCCGAAATTCCTTAGCCTGCAAATGGGGGTGGACTATAAATTTGCAGTTTTTTTTTATTCAGAGACAATTTTATTTTTAATGATTTTTTTCATTCACAATCACTGATTTAATGGATTATGA